CCCCCCCTCCCAGCGTATCTCGGCCGAATGCCGACGTGGTCCCGCCAGAGGCGGTGAAGCTCGCCCTAGAACGGACACATTATTTGACCATTACTGCTCTTTAAGTTGCTGCCACGTAAAATTTGGTATTGCATATAAATAAAGAAATATCACGCAATAATCCATGACCAGGCGAAGTTACATTGAAATCACATTGCGTTTAGACGCAAATCGCGATGCGGGAAAACCGATTCGAAACCACCTCTAGAAGTGGCTTGGGATCGAGGCGCATCGGTTTTCGCCTGTTCCAAAAAAAAGTCCTCGGAGGCTCTGGCCTGGCTGTAGGCCTGGGTAGTACAAGAACACAGTACATACGTACTGTGCCGATTCATACATTCCGCAAAAAGCCAGCATGTGTCGGCATGTCATATACGTCGCTATGTACTGCCGCAAATTCACAATACCAGACTTTTTAATTATTTTTGGCTGAGTTTTTATTCGTCTGTGTGCACTAGCCTGGGGTTTTTCAAAGGATGTCATCCATAAAATTAAGTCAGTGTGGCCTTAGGTATATAATCCAACTATCCAAGTCACGCTGGCCATAAGGTGAAAATATTCTTCTGTGACTGAGATGTAAATGTATACTTTTGTTTCTAGTTTTATCTAAACAAAAATCTGGTTTGAAATTCCTTACAAAAGATTCCATCACAAAATCCCATTACACAGCTGATCTTTGTTTAGATAACACTTTGAACAAATGCAGATATTTGCATCACTGTATTTTTTTTATCTCTCAGAGGATTACGGGTAATTATACTTAAGCCAAACCTGGCGTTGTCTATCGGCACCTAAGTTGTTGTTCCGGCATTTTTTTGCTGAATAAAGTACTACGTCTTAAGAATAAGACTTAGTCCAAATGTACGTATTTTATCTATCTATTTTCAGGCGACCTTGTTTGCGAAAATTAAAGATAGTCAAGTCAAGTCAAAGTTTATTGCACAACGATTGTCACGGGTACAATGTATGGCAAATAATAAAATTACTAGTTGGTATGTGTCCAACATAATGCTATATATATGGTCGACGGACATTGTATCTGACAGAGTATTATACATTTGTATAAAGAACTACTGGCTATAGAATATTTCGACTCTACATGTACATTCTACATTACGCTAAACTATACACACGAAGGGTACAGTGAGCAGTTGTACCTAATTATACTAAACATGTTCAATGGCTACTAAACAGAGTGTATACTAAGATAGATTGTCATTACAAATGTGGGACATTCCAACCAAACCTGATTTTTAATTATAGTTTAGACAACACGTTGGAGAAAAAGCATGTATCTGCATCACAAATACTAAACTGTATTTCCATATCTTTATGGATTACGGTAATTATTCCTTAGCGTAAATTGCGTTGTCTATCACCACCTAAGTCTACAATTTATCATTTTAGGGTTAAAAAAAGGTATGACTGAAGAATTAGTCCACAGTTAAGTGCTTTTATTTAGTTTTTTTCCCACTGACAGATCACTCTCAGGTATGTGATCTATTTTTTTTAGGTGGCTCTGCACAAGAAAATAAAATCAAAACAGCTGTTGATTTATATAAATAAAACACATCGTAAGAATTAGTCCAACTGTACGTATTTCACTTGTTTATTCATTTTCCAAGTAGACCGCATTAAGGTATGTGACCTGCTTTTTATGCGGTCCTGTATAAAAAAAATTAAATGCAAAATTGTGTTTGCACGTGTGAGATATCCTTTTTCGTTCAGACAACACATTCAACAGAAAGCATAAATATGCATTATAAACACCAAACTGTATGTCCATATCTTTATGGATTACTGGTAATTATTTCCTAGTCTAACTTGCGTTGTCTATCACCACCCAAGTCGATTTCTTTTTTTAAATTTTAGGATGAAAAAAGGATGAACTGAAGAACTAGCCCACAGTTACGTGTTTTCGTTTATTTTTGCACTGTTAAATCATATTCATGTCTGTGATCTTCGTTTTTCAGGTGGCTTTGCACAATAAACTAAAATCCGGACTGTTCTTTGTCTACAGAAGTATCAAAAATTCCAAATCTTTTCTTTGTTGTGACAACACTTAAGGCACCACCGACTTAATTTTATGGAGGACATTCACACGCGCATTGATTTTTGCCTGTTCTAAAAAAAATCACGTCCACCAAGTCTCTCGCCTGGCTCTAGGCCTGGGTAGTCCATGGTAGTTAACAACAATACGGAGCCGGGCACCGAGGCTACCGAAGCTCAAGGACACAGTACAGACGTACAGTGTCGATTCATAAATTCCGCAAAAAGCCAGCATGTGCCGGCTTGTCGTATATGTCGCTATGTACTGCCGCTAATTCACAATACCAGCTTTGTATTCCTGTGGTTTAGTAGCATTTTTATTTTTGGCCGGAGTTTTTTTATTCGCCCGCGCGCACTAGTTTGGGGGTTTTCAGAGGATGTCATCCATAAAATTAAGTCGGCGTGGCCTAATAAGCAGTCGTCCACATCTGCATCACAACAACCAATCCGGTAATTCAGCCTCTCTTATGAAGGATTATGGGTAACCACGCCTTAGCGTTAGTTGTCTATCGTCTAGATATAACCTCCTTGCTATCTCCACCCAAGTCATTTTCAGATTTGCTCAGGCTAGCGCAGTTGAAAGATCGTCAAAAGAACTACTAGTACTCCGCGAGGTACGTGCTTTTATTTCTTCATTTTACGAGAGATCGCAGAAAGGTCCTCATATTGCCGTGTTTTTAACGCAGGCGCAGGGCTTTTGGCGGCAGGGTGAAGAAATCATGTCCATATGAACTGAACTCTTGACTCGGTGACTTTTTGGCGTACGAGCCGAGTTCTCAAATCATTTCGGCACTAAGCTTGGCTTCTGGTGCTTCCGTCGGCCGCGCGGCGTACAGTACAGTATCGTAGGCCAAGTCTATGTGTGAAAATGTGTGGAAATGTGCCGATCACCTTGTTGTCTCGATTATAATTTGCTTCTCGGGCGCTATATGATCTCGAAAATATGTCTGTTAGAGTCCAAAGGCAGCATCCCGATACCCTTTTTAAAGTGCTGAAGCCGCTAACACTGGACACCCAGTGTTGACGTAACTTTAGCACTGAAGATCTAGGACGAAAGCCGCCTCACCTCTGTACACCGAGTGCTGAGAAAGGAACCCGTAATACAAATATATGTACTTTTGCTAGACTGGACACCAGGATACAATTGTATAGTGGACATAATCGATACTTCTGAAGTTCATTTACGTTTTTAAAAAAAATCCTAAGCACTAACCCACAATAACGCCACCCTGTATGGCCCCTGGGTTGTTTCTGTAGGCACTGGAGAAGAATGCGCTCTGTTAAGCTGTTAAGCTCTGTTAAATCTCGGTAGGGGGGGGGGGTGTTTTCACGATTATGTTACGGTGCATTCTTGTCGCCTGGGTCCAGGTTGATGTTAACTCCTAGTTAGAAAAGAATCCCTGGCACTGGCCGACAAAAAACGGCCTAGTTTACAGGTATTCTTCCTGCGCGCTCGAAAAGTGCAGAAAGAATACAGCCTGTTAATTATAACCACCCGGTGCAGTCCCATTTCGAATTGTTATACAGTTAGTAGTCAAAAGGAGCACGGAGTAAAAAGGAGTCAAAAGTGACGAAATTCTTTGGTGCAGGGTAGCAAAGTGAAAACTATGCCGGATTGTATTGCTGGATCATGCTACGACCTACCCAGCTCTAACTCACATGCGTTTCACAATGTCTCTGTATCAGGGACTATTAAATTAGCATTTAACCAATGAGAGTTTGGCAATTAACAAAGGAGGTGGGGCTTACCTCCCCCCCCTCCCCCCCACCCCACCTAGCCTTCTCAATTTGACAGGTCGCTGGCAGCGCGGTTTTGTCTTGGCTGCACTGGACTAACCTGCGAGCGTGCGAATTAAAAAACAACTTGTAGTTTACTTTATTCTGAAATATACGGGGTCATTAATGTTAAAACAAATGACATGGCGAATAATAATAGACTTTTGATTTCTTTAGATATTCATCTTTTTCTGAATTGATATCGGGCTTCTATGACATTAGTATTGTTTTCCGATACTTCCTTTGCAACATACGACATATATTTGCTCATTTTGTACGATTTACAGTGTGGTGGAATTTTTTTTAAATGGACGGAAATTCATGCGGCGCGGATATATATATATATATATATATGGCATTATCTTTACAAAAATTACTCTTGAGGTTCATTTAATTGCAGTCATATTAAGGAACACATGGATGTGGAATAGTTAATTGATACATTGGCTAAGTAGAAAAACCAGATGAATGCGATAGCTTTTGCAAAATATTTGTATCATAGCATTATGTAGGGTTCCTGCAAGTTTAGTTAACTGTGAACAATATGAACTTGGTATTATGTCAGTTCCTTTTTTTAGCAAAGAATAATTTTACTACTTCGATGCACTAAAAAGGAGAAGTAACGTTGAAATCATGGCTTGAAGTAGTTAAAGATAATTACCACAGACACAATGCTTACATGTTCCGTATATCTACGTTTCAGTGCATCATGGACTTTGAGAAAAACTTTGCTGAGTTGGACAAGAGCGGTGACGGCACAATCGACTCTTCTGAGCTCAAGACCTTCTTAGAGCTGAGCGGCCTGAATCCAAATGTCTCGGATCAGTTTGTGGAGGTAAACTCTTTTTTTTTCAATAATTTTTATTTCAATAAAAATGAAATAGGTTGAAATACAAATAAACAAAAAGTACATGGAATACAATAAGCTACATAAAACCAAGACAGCACGTTCAACCATGATAAAACATAGGACTATGCAAAAACCAAGAATGACAAATTATAAATGGTGATATATATGTATAACAAGGCAAAACATGTAAAATATGTATACATACACATACACATTCACGCACAAACACACACACACAAACGCACACACACGGTTTGGGCAAAGGTAGGATGTAAAATAATGTCTGTTTTTTGCCAACACCTCAGAGATAAGCCTTTAACTAAAATTGGGTCGTTTTTTTTCAGCGTATAAAAACGAAGTGTGACGTCAATTCTGATGGGAAACTGACAAAAGTCGAGGCAGAAAAAATCTCTCAGGTCTGCCAGGAGATCAAAGGCCTGGTAGAGCTGTTTAAGGAGTATGACAAGGTTAGTTTTCTTTGATTCCTCATTTCTGTAATTTCTTATAGGACTATAATTATTAGATTTTTTTATATTTTATAGAAAGTAGATGTATTTTAAGTTGTAATTAGGTATGTATGTATGAGGTATAGTTCTTATAATACAACGAAAATGATGAATCTTGTTGCTGAAAATAGATTAGTTCTGAAGCGTCGTTAGAACCGTTCAAAAGACAACAGTCTAGAAGTTACCTTTTCTAGTTTTGTTCGATTTTGTAGCGTACCTGCCAAATTATTCTGTCTGCTTATAATGTTACAGAATAAGTTGATATACAGTAATAGTCACGCGCTGGGCGGGGCCTCTACTGATTGGATGACACCATGTCACCGTTAGTGTTAATCCAATCAACGACTTTTGGCAGAGAAACAAACAGGAGAAAGACTTAAGCTAAAACTACTCAAGGTTAAGAGACAAATAATCTGGTAAACATAGATGCAAGGGATAGGAAAACAACGACACATCTATTTTATTGAAGAGGTAACACCAAATAAAAAGAAGTGCCGCGGATCCTGACAGAAAAACAGTAAAAACAATAAAAAAACGAGCTAAAGAATTTAAATTGGCCTCTTTTGTAAATACAAATCACTACAAGCAGTAATATAGATAGAATAACAAACTAAAATGACATTCAAGTCTATTGACCTTACCTCATTTTTCAGGACGGCAGTATGACCATGTCCTACAAGGAGATGCGGAAGAAGGCCGGCTCCTTTCTCCGTGAACAAGGCGACAAGTATGGCGGGGGGAAGGTCAGGGACCTGCTGGACCACTGGGACGGCGACAAAGACAAGGAGATGACCTTGGGCGAATTCCTGGAAATCATTTTTGGTGAAAGGTTCTAATTATGAACCCTTGTCAGATAAATGCCATGTTAGGTACTGGTTCCATTTAAAGTCTGATGTTAAGGCAACTATTACTATTACATCGAAGTAGTGTAGTACTTAACTTCTGCTTACTATAGGCAACCATTCACAGACATAACTGTCAGATTTATCTAGAACATAGCGTAGTAACTAAAATAACATATGCAGGGCTCACTCCAAAAAAAAATGATTATTTCACAGCTAATATTCATTGTCCAACGTATAGTTTAAAGCAACAGATATCAGACTTACCTGGCATATATCACCATTGATAAATCCCACTTTTCATTTAGTGCAAGAACCTCAGGAACCAAGCATGTCAGAAACTTGCAGAATGGGCTTTATAACTGCCATTTTATTGAAACTACTATAACTGTAAAACAACACTTTTGTAATTGTAGTATATACTGGGTAACCATGTAGACGATTTTATCGGTGAAGGTAAGCATCCAGGTAATACCATACGCAAAAAAAATGTACAAACGCAACTGGATATGATCTTTTAAAAACTTCTTGGGTAACTGTTTTAGACGACAATACTAATACCATTGCTAGTGAATAACTGATAAGTAAGCTTCCAGTTATACAATTTGTTACTTAAATGGATTTTCTGATTAAATGCTCTGCTTATGTTAAAAATGTTTTGTTATTTCTCTTGCTTTCCTTTGAGAATTGAACAAAGATGGCTATTCTCGCCTTCTCGCAGAAAATGTTAAATTTTAAATCTTATCAATGATATTTTCAATATTTCATTCATCAATTGTAGAATAATATGTATCACGGTGCTATTTTTGGAATGAAATACCACTATCACGATGGTCAAATTTGGGCCCAAATATTCCAACCTTTTCATCGAACAGAATCATGTTCGATATGACGTCATTCGAATCGAATCATGTTCGATATGACGTCAATCGAACCGAACGGGCGTTTGATCCGGGGTTACCCGCGGTCATGTACAGTAAACCCGCGGCTTCAAGCTCGTTTTTACACGGGTACTGCCTAACAGTAAAAAATCCACATTTTCACAAATATAAACCAATTTCGGGACAGTATATCTATACCCTGTTTTATAGTGGATATGTAACATGTAACGAAGCTACTGCCGTCATGGTGTGTGACCTTGAAGATCGTAATGGTTGTTTACGGGGATATAAGTTACCCCCTATACTTACTCATACGACCTGACATGCATGCAGACATGGTATTTAAACCGCAAGAAAAACAAATTCAATTTACCTCAAAAACGTTTTAAATTGTAGGTAAGACAAAAATCTCGATCTGTGTTGGACGGATTTTTTAAAGATGGCGGCGTTCTGGAATTATCCGTCTTGGAAGTTGAAAAAGTGCATTTTTTGGCGAATTTTTCGACCTTAGCAACACTTTAACTTTGAAATAAAGAAAACTGTCCGACTCAAATCTTAATTTTGTTATACTGTTCTCTAAAATGCAAAAATGTGGAATTTTCGGAGAGATTTGGGGTCGGTTTAAATCAATTGTTTGGTTATTGACGTCGATTGTTCTAGAATAAACATTCGACGCGTTGAGAGTGATTTCGCACACATTTAAGCATTGTAATAAAAACAAAAACATTTGAGCTATATGCAGTGCGGATTTTATCACATTTGGACAAGAGAGTCCCCATGAAACTGTTTATAATTGATGAAAAGAATGTTACCGTTGAGGCTGGCTCCACGGAAGCCGCGTGTGGAACCCCGGTAACCTGATACCCTTCCGTAGAATTGGAAACTTTACCCTAGAAATTGACCGCCGTGTATATCAAAAATGCATTTGAAAGACAAAGTAACCAAAAAGTGATGGTTCAAAGGTTTTCTATATGTATCGATGAGGCTTTAGACATAAATAAATTTGCAGTTTAAATCTATTTCGAGGGAGGGGGGAGGCCCTCACCAACTTTCATCTCGGATAGCACCTGAAAGTCCTTTCTAACATCAATAATATATTATATAATGATATGCAATTTCCAGAATTAGATATTTATAATTTGTGCTAATTTAATGACACCATTGGCCGCGAATAGGTGTCACGTGTCTTTTACGTGTGGAGGTCGTGTGGTGCAATTGGTAGCGTGTTTGGCTCACACCCCAGAGGTTGCGTGTTCGAACCCCATCTGTCACCGATGTTGTGCCCTTGGGAAATGAACTTTATACCACTTTTCTCGCTTCACTCAGGTGGACGAGAATAAAATAGTAGGTAAAGTGGTTAGCCGAGGTCCCGCATGCTTCAGGTGGTCAGCTGACAGGCCGTCCAAGTCGCATGCTTTCCCATTTGGGAGCGAATTGATCGCTGCAGCTACCTTAGAAACACGAACAAACATTTCATTATCAAAAATTACATCTAAATTAACTGTGTGATCTACAAATTTTTTACACTCGTGAGGAGCCACCGAATTCAGCAGGGAGTCATAATGATCCTTCCACATGCCAACGATGCTTAAGACACCTCTGTGATCCTCGATGTTATCGGGTAGGTTAGGTTTGGAGCCATTTTGAGATCGTAGGGTTGACCAAAAGCCTACGCCCCCCCCCCCCTTCTGAAGACTGGAGGCCAGCGCATCAGCCCGATGCTGGGCATCAATGCGACGGCACTCTTTAAGGGAAAGTTTGAATTTGGCCCGAGTTTTCCTCGTTAGGTCCCAAATGGCCCCATGTCTAGGACAGTTACATTCTCACCAGAGAATAAAGGCGTCACGAGCTGCAGTATGGTATTCTCTGACGACGGAATTCCAGCCCGGAACCGCGTGGGAGTTAGTGCAAATCCAAAAAAAGGAGCTGGCAGCTGCATTTTCAGAGCAGTGACTATATCAAGAGCAAATTTATCAAGGGAAGTTGTGTGGTCTATGTTATTGCAATAAGGGCCTTGGCATGAGAGAGCAGCAGTAGGCAATTTGCATTTCGATAAAGACACATCAGCACTGGTGTGATGTCGCGCCAGGTCACATTGGGAAGCACGCTCCCAGCTGATTCTGTTTGAAAGAGGAATTCCGGACATCGACACCTGGTCTTAACCGCCTGTGTTTACAAACACAGGCGACGATGACCAGTCAAAGGAAACAAACAATGGGAAATGATCGCAAAAGGTTTAATCGCAAAAGGTTTCATGCAGTGGGAAAAATAAACCATCATCGAAGTAATCTAGTAGACTGCAGGGGACGAAGACTCTTGGCTTCAGATCAGGGCACTGTTGTCGACACAAACATGCTAAAATGCTATCCACACTTCATCACGCTGTTCATCAGATTTCAAGACACTCGATGCCACAGACATTCAAGTTAACCATTTACAATCAAATTTACAATTGCTGTTGGGCGATAGATCGGTATGGGAAGTGTGTCAACAGATCGTGCTATCTTCTCTTCAAGCACACCTTTCAGTTGCATTAATACAGTATCTAATTTGCAGGACAGTATCCATTTACTACCCATTTGGCTGGATTAAAAAAGAAAACATCCCCCAAAAAGCCCCCCAAAATGCCTAAACACGTAAAAGAGCCGAAGCCTAAACCTCTGCTTGTAAATTACCCCTGTCTGACACCGATGTATTTTAACAATTGTAGCGACTGACATTACAAGGATACAGCCTGCTGTAATTTTAGATTCTAAGCACGTCAAGTAGCTTTGTCTTCCGAGGCAAATTGCAAACATACCACGAACTTCTGCGCATGACAACTTCACGGAAATACCTTCCCCACACGCACCTGTGGTAAACTTCGTGGCATGATGTACCTGTTACTGGCGGGCTGAGAGGCTATTAAAGCGGGCCCATTTTAACACCACAAGCAGACTGTGGGGACCGAACACTCGTGGCTTCAGATCAAGGAACTGTTGTCGACACAACAAAGGCGCTTCATAAGGCTGTAAAAGCGGGATCATTTTAACACCACATGTAGACTGCGGGAACGAACACTCGTGGCTTCAGATCAAGGCACTGTTGTCGATGCAACAAAGGCGTTTCAGATATATTGTGGCTAAGGTGAGATACGAAGACTATAATACTCTGTGCATTACATTTTGTTTGTGATTTTTAAAAAGGGTAATGACAGCACAGTTAACAGCATAATATAGCAATGGTGTTACCAAAAAGCTGTTAGTCCAGCAACTATATATGATTTTGGAAACGGTCAGACGTTACAGCTAGTATCCACTAGCTTTCGTCAGTGACTGAAAGACCAGAGAGAGAGGAGATATACAGGTTTATAAGCACAAACTATTGATTGATATGCAAATAAAGTGAAGAAAATATTTTTTTGAAGTCGAAAAGGATACAAATGTCAGACAAGTTAAGACAAGATGATGCAAATTAGTCAGAAACCATCGGTATCGATTCTGACTTAAAAAAAATAATTCTAAGTCTGAAATTCGAAATAATATTAGATTTATTTAGGTAAACGCAGTACTGTGTATATTGTCAAGTCTACGTGACCCCTTGGCAATAGTAAGATATGGCTGGGGCTTTTAGAAAACGTTGGCTGTATATAGGGATAATGGAATTCCATATTTCAACAAGAGGTCGATGATTTCATACCTTCGTCGTGTATGAGTTTGGTTTATCAGAAATATGCTGCTGTATATAGTTTGACATTTATTTTGCTGGTATGTAAACCAAATGATGTGTGACACATAAGTCGTAGTACAGAAACACACGTTCTGCGAGTACGGAATTATTCCAACATAGTCACGATGAACGACAGAACCACCTGGAGATCCATATGCCGAGGCGCTACGCTTCCCTTAGAAGCATGCGGCCTTAAGTGAGTGAGTGAGTGAGTCACGATGATTGTCATTGTCGTCACTACTGGGTGTATCTTTTCGGATTTAGTGTGTTGTGTATTCAATGTTCAGTGTTTTCATTGACTTGCACGTTACTTGAAAGAGTTGTATGCCTTAGAATGGGACGTGGTCTACTGTTTATGCTCGTATTGGGAATATATGTCCCGAGAGAGAGGCGAACAACCTACTAAACATCTGTCCCCCCAGCAGTGAACATCAGTTTCAAATACGCCCAATTTGCATGTGATTTATTACTTCTCTCTACACAAGAGGGGACAGCCTCCTATTTCAAACTCCCTCAGAATATCATTCTAAATATTCCAGAAATAAGCTGTCAAAGCAGAAACCACCTATCTAGTGTGTTCAACTATGGAAAAGTCACATTGACATGGAAGTCCAACCGCCAAATCGTCCATTTAGTCCTAAAATTTAACTTTTTGACCAGAGAAATAAAGTACGAGAAATGTAAACAATACGAGAATGACCCCTGAACCCTTTGGCGGCTAGCAAAACACAAGAGGATGGGATTAGTTTTAAAGCTCTACCGAGCAGTAAAAAAACACTAAAAGCCAGAAACACTCCGGCTGGAAGATGCCAACATACATCTACTTATACAAAAAAGATGTTTTCAGTTGGTTTGGATACGCTCTTTAAAGAGTCGGTAAATATCTTACAAGGCAGGAAATACAAGTATAGAGATACCGTACAACCAACATGTTTTTTCTTTAAATTTTATTGATTATTGATTACAAGTATAGAGATATCGGTCAGCCTACATGTTTTTTTTCTAATTTTTATTGATTATACGTTTCGCGTATTCAGGCATATTTTTAAGCCTTTACCCTCGCGT